GGAGAAGAGGAGGAAGAGGAAGAGGAGGAGGAGGCGCAGAGTGGCTTCCAATTAGGGTAAATCGTACCCATCTATTTTCTGAATCACTAAACCAGGGTCCCAATCCGAAAGTGGAGAGGATAAAACGTGCTTGGAAATCTGATTGAGGAAAAGGTGAGCTCTCTCTCGATGATACCGTTTTAAAAACCACCCCTGGGCGTGTGTCTTACTGACTCGATGGGGACCCGGCTGTCCTGGCACGGGACGGGAGGGGGGGGGGGGGGGGGTGAGATTTCCTCAAGCCGCCCTTCCTCGTCTTTTGGCTCTTGGTTCTCCGAAACAGGATGGGAACCCTTTGGGAAAATTGGTCCGGCTGATTGCAGAGGAATTTCAGTTTTTGGCAAGCCTTGCAGGGAGGAAAGAAAGAAAGAAAGCTTTCGTCCAGATGATAAGAAAAATGAGCCTCCTCCGTGCCTTCCTCCAGCTCCAGATCGGAGGGCGCGGCCCACAACCTCCCAGCCTGGCGACCAGATGGCTTGAAGGTCCCTTTGCCTTAGGTCAACTTGGCCTCCCTCCAGGGGTTTTGGATTTCAACTCCCATCATTCCTCACAGCCTCAGGCCCCTTCCTGAGGAAGGAAAGGGCCTGAGGCTGTGAGGAATGGTGGGAGTTGAAGTCCAAAACACCTGGAGGGAGGCCAAGTTTGCCCAAGCCTGGTCTCAAAACAGGCTCTCCCTTGCCATATAATGCAGTTCCAGGATTAGATCCAGCCTTGTATCCATCCCAGGTATCTCCCAAGGAAAGTTATATGGCCGAAATTAACAGTACAGATGTCCTGCGCGCTGCGAAGCCTATAAAAACGCGTTTACAATGGTTACTTTTTATAAAAAGCGAAATTTATAACTTTCATATGGCCCTTTTCTGGGGCGAGGCTGGCCCTCCATGTGTTTCCGAGTTCCATAATTCTTTCTCTTTGAAGCCCCCTCCTTCCTTCCTTCCCTCCCTGGACAGTGCCAGGTAGTCCTTCGGAGCGGGAAAAGGGTATTTCGTGTAACACGAGAACCCGGTTTGGCTCCAGAGCGGGTTTCCATTAAACTCACACACAACACAGAGCTGTGCAGGAAGAATGGCAGGTTCCTCTCTGGACTGACTCCTCCCTTGTAGAGAGAGTGCATCTACCTGTGGACTTAATGCACTCTGGCCCTACTTTGACTGCCATCGTTCTGTTCTATGGAAGCATGGGAGTTGTAATGTATATACACAGGTTTGAGCCTTCCATCTTCATCCACCCAACAGCGCTGGTATCTCAACCAACATCAACTCCCATGATCCCATCTCATTGAGCCATGGCAGCTTCAATGCGACAATATCCATTTTGCACACAGGCACTCCCCAAGTTCTGTAGGTTTGTTCTTAAGTTGAATCTGTATGTAAGTCGGAACAGGTACATTTTTAAGTGTAACTCCGGCCAAATATAATAGTAGTAGTAGTAATAATATAATAATAAAATAAAACTGCATTTAGACCCCGCCACCATCTCCCCAAGGAGAGAGATAATATAATATAATATAATATAATATAATATAATATAATATAATATAATATAATATAATATAATATAATAATTATATTATTTTATCTCTACTGTTATATATAGCATCTCCCCAAGGAGAGATATTATATTATTATTATTATTATTATTATTATTATTATTATTATTTTCCAGTGCTGGGATTTAAGACTTATGCTATCCAAACGCTTAATAATAATAATAATAATAATAATATAGCAGTAGAGATAATATAATTATTAGATTATAATATAATGTAATATATTATATATTATCTCTACTGCTATATTATTATTATTATTATTATTATTATTAAGCGTTTGGATAGCATAAGTCTTAAATCCCAGCACTGGAAAATAATAATAATAATAATCTATTATGATATGTTATAATATATTACATTATATTATATTATAATGTAACATAATATAATGCAATATAATATTATTATATTATATATCTTTATTGCTATAATTTATTATTATTATTATTATTATTATTATTATTATTATTATTATGCATTTGGATAGCATAAACTTTGAATCCCATCACTGGGAAATAATAACAATAATAATAATTTATTATGTTATCACAATAGTGATATAATAATATTATATCATTATATAATAGCAATATATTATTTTATATAACAATAGTGATATAATATATTATTATTATTATTATTATTATTATTATTATTATTATTATTATTATTATTTTCCAGTGATGGGATTCAAGGCTTATGCTATTCAAATGCTTATACATATATACTATCAAGGCTTTTATATATACCGTAGGCAGCAAAAGAAACACCACAGGGGTGATAGCTCTTTCCTATGCTATCCAAAGCCTCTATTTATGCTATCGATATACGTGTATATATAAGTTTTGGATTGCATAGGGAAGGCTTAATACACCTGTGGTGCTTTTTTTATCCTCTGTGCCTCTGTTCAGAAGATCTCCCCTCACTTTCTGTCCCTGTGATAATTGGATTTTGAGAAATGTGGCTTGTTGTGGAAACAAAGATTGGTGAGAAAGCCTCCTTGGTTTTGGAAATGCATGACCTTTTAGAGATCATAACCTTTTGGACAAGACATCCATAATCTTTTGGGAAAACCAGAATCTCCAAAGAAAGGATGACATCAGGAGATTAACTGGCATTCACACTATATGGAATGGTCATAACCTTTTTTTTTTTTGTATGATCCTCAGAAGAGCTAAAACTCATTTGAGTGAATCTCTTCCTTAGCGGCAAATATTTACTAGCATTCATTCAAGGCAAATTAGGTTTTTCAGTTATTAGACTGATATACCTGGTTATCTCTGAACTGTTAGGAACAATGATTATGCCAACGCATAAAATATATAGCAGATCTTCAGAAGTGTCATTTCAGTTGCCAAAAAAATCTAGTCTCCCATAAAATATATAGCTCTAAATCATGATCTCAAGAGACAAAAATATGTACTCATAGTTGGTTTAATTACAAATGTAAAGTGTTCAGCATACAGGTAAAATTGCTTATTAGTTAAAATATTAAACAGACTGTTTCTATGGCATTGTTTGTCTCTTCTCTGTAGCATACAGACTAATATATAACTCTCTTAATTCAAACAGACTAGACACACTGACAATACATTGACTTCTTAAATGGATTCTCAGTTTGAACAGTCCCAGATCTGATCACATAGTCTGTAGTCCCTCCCACAACATAGAGTGAAGGGAAAATTGCATACCAGTACACATATATACAACATTGTAAGCAATCACAATTATATACATAACAAATAACTAGTACAGGAGGCTTGTAGAAGTGTTGTCGAAGGTTTTCATGGCAGGAATCACTGGGTTGCTGTGAGTTTTCCGGGCTGTATATTGCCATGTTCCAGAAGCATTCTCTTCTGACATTTCATCCACATCTATGGCAGGCATCCTCAGAGATGCAACCTCAGCCCTGCTACATGCACAATGGAGGACCTTCTTGCGGCAACACCAGAGGCACTCCAAGTGGCCAGACACTGGCCAAAGGACATTTAATCAACTACCAAGTTTGCAAAATTTGTGGGTTTTTTTATCTGTTTGTTTGTTTTGTTCTGTTAGAAATGTAATACAACGGTCTGGTTGCTGATGACACGATAAATCCTCAGAGATTGAGAGTCTCAACCTCTTTTGCCCACATAGATGTGGGCTAAACGTCAGGAGAGAATGCTTCTGGAACATGGCCATACTGCCTGGAAAACTCACAGAAACTCAGGCTTTTAAAAGGTTGCTATTTCCAACAAGTCAGACTCCTTTTCCTCTTGAAAACAGTTTTAGGACTGAATTTCCCTTCCTAGGGGTTGATTTCTCTCACTTCCGATAGTCTCACTTCCTTCCTTAACTGTGAGTCGCTTGCAAATGGGATGTCTGTAACTCGGGGACTGCCTGTATTGATATTCCAGATTAACACGGCCATGTCTTTGAATAATAAGAAATTCTGTTTTCATGTGGAGTGAGCTACATTAAATGCCAGCTCTGGAAAAATTAGTATTATTATATAAATTTCCCCTGATATTAAGTTCAGTCGTTCTGGACTCTGTGGGTTGGTGCTCATCTCCATTTCTAAGCCGAAGAGCCGGCATTGCCCATAGACACCTCCAACGTCATGTGGCCGGCATGACTGCATGGAGTGCCTGCATGGAGCACCGTTATTATTAATACGTATTAAGTAATAATAATACTTAATAATAATAATCTCTCCAAACAGGACTCGGGGCAGCTTACAGAAAATAAAACACAATACAAAACATATTATTATTAATGCGCCATATTATGCGCCATAGTACTATTATTATTTACTTTATTTTTATCTCACTTTTCTCCTCAAGGTGACTAACAATAACATGACCAAGGCGACATACAAGGTTGAAGATGTTGCCTGTCATGGAGAATACCTCTCAACCTCTGAGGATACCTGCCATAGATGTGGGCGAAACGTCAGGAGAGAATGCTTCTGGAACATGGCCAGAAACTCACAGCAATCCAGAGATTCCAGCCATGAAAGCCTTCGACAACACTTCTACATACTAGTTTTGTGTTATGTATATGATTGTGATTGCGAACTTTATTGTATATGTGTATATTGGTATGCAATTTTCCCTTAACTCTATGTTGTGGGAGGCACTACAAACCATATGCTCAGGGTTCGCCCTTTTCCTGGTATAAAAAGTATAACAGCAACTCTTAGGCACACGTAAAAGCTGAGTAAGGTCTATCCAGTGATATTATTATGCCACTCAGTGGCAAGGGAATCACTCTTTTCTCAACGTCAAGTCGGATTCCAGGCTTTCCGCTCCTCTTCGCCGTTCTGGCTGATGCAAGATGGTTTCTTCGGGTTGCTGTGAATTTTTCGGATTGCGTGGCCATATTTTAGAAGCATTCTCTCCTGACATTTCACCTGCATCTAGAGCAGGCATCCTCAGAGGTTGTGAGGTTTCTTCTGTTTCTTCGGAAAGAAGTTCCGTGGGTTGATTCTCGAGGAAGCCGCGTTCAAGCGTGGCACCTTTTCCTTCACGTGCCGAACAGAAACAGAAACGGATTTCCTGGCCGCTCCCACGTCCTTGGGTCCATGAAATCTCACGGTACCGCTTGGCAGGTGTGGAAACACATTCCGAGATGGGTTTGCTGGGCTGGAACAGCTCCATCCCGCGAACAAGGCTAATGGCTCAATGTGCCAGATTCCCACTGATTTGATTTCATGGGAATCGCCTTCCTTGGCACTCCACGGGAGTTTGACTCTAAAATAATGTAAAAGGGGGCTCTGCGGGAATGAAGGAGAAAGGAGGGGAATCTACACCAGGCCTGGGCCAACTTAGGCCCTCCCTCCAGGTGCTTTGGACTGCAACTCCCATCATCCCTGACAGCCTCAGGCCCCTTTCTTTTCCCACTCAGCCGCTTCAGCACCCCCGACAGATGGCCATCCAGCCTCTGCTTAAAGGATAAAGGTAAAGGTTTCCCCTGACATTAAATCTAGTCTTATCTGACTCTGGAGGGTGGTGCTCATCTCCGTTTCTAAGCCGATGAGCCGGCGTTGTCCGTAGATACCCCCAAAGTCATGTGGCTAGCATGACTGCATGGAGCACTGTTATCTTCCGGGAAAAGCGGTATCTAATGATCTACCCACATTTTTGCATGTTTTCAAACTGCTATGTTGGCAGACCCTGGGCCTAACAGCACGAGCTCCTCCCCCCCCCCCCCCCCCCCCCCAAATCCTTAGTCAGTAAGTTCAGCACCTCAGTGTTTAACCCATTGCGCCACCAGGGGACCCTATAGCCTCTGTTTAAAAGCCTCCAAAGAAGGAGCCTCCACCACAGTCCAGGGTAGAGAGTTCCATTGCTGAACAGCTCTCACGGTCAGAAAGTTCTTCCTAATGTTCAGATGAAATCTCCTTTCTTGTCGTTTGAAGGCATTCTTCGGCGTCCTAGTCTCCAGGGCAGCAGAAAACAAGCTTGCTCCCTCCTCCTATGACTTCCCCTCACATATGTATACATGTCTCCTTCTCCTTCTTTTGCAGGGTAAACAAGGGAGAGGAAGAAGAGAAGGAGGAGGAAGAGGAGGGATAAAAAAAGAGAGGACAAATAAGGGAATGATGGAGAGGAGAGGAAGAAAGATCAAAAGGAGGAAGGGCAGTGGGAACAAGAAAGAGGAGGGAAGAATAAAAAGGAAGGGGGGAGGAAAGAAGGAAGAATAAAGGGGAGAGGGTAACGGTAAAAAAGGGGAAATGGGAAGAAGTTGGAGAAGAAGGAAAGGTAAACGAGAATGAGGAAGGAAGAAAGAAAAGGAGGGGGATTGTAGGTAGGTAGGTAGGAAGGAAGGAGTGATGAAGAGAGGGAAAGGGATGATGTAAGAAACCCACTCCCCTGCCTTAAGGGGTAGGAACTGTTCCCCCCTGAGGAAGGGGGCGTTTGCTCTGGGCCGCCCCCTGGATCAGGCTGCCTGGGCCTCTCTTGGGAAGGGGGTCATGTTGTACTGAAGTCAAAGGACTGGAGCCAACTGGGGCTTCCTACCGAGCCAAGAAGCAACTAAAGAGAGCTGGGGATGCGAATTACAACTCTCCATGAGTCCATGGGTCCAAGCCCCCCGCCCCCGTTGGCAGCCGAGAAAGCCCCGGCTCTGGGGCCTCTGTCCAGGCGCCTGGGAGGACCATGGGGCTTGGCCATCAGTGCCTTTGGCTCGAAGAGGGAGACATGGTCCAAACCAGGATGGAAGGGAGCTCCTGCCAAGGGTGACTCATGGACAGAGGCCTGCACAACCTTGGGGTGTCTCTACACTGGGAAATGAATACAATTGGGGGCCATTTGAAGTGCCGTGCTTCAGTACTATGGCATCTTGGGAGTTGCAGTTTAGTGAGGCACCAACGCTCTTGGACAGAGAAGGCTACAGGCTGCCATGATTCCATAGCCTTCAGCCCTGGCAGTTGAAGTGGGGTCAAGCTGTAGTCATTTCGCAGTGTCCCAGGTGCCCTCTCCACACAACTGAATAAAATCCTACCTTATCTGCTTTGAACTGGAACATATGGGACCAGAGTGAAGAAAGGGAGCCAGGAAGACACAAGGCCCTTCCACACAGCCATATAACCAAGAATATCAAGGCAGAAAATCTGCTTTGAACTGAGTCCATGTTGCCATATATTCCAGTTCAAAGCAAATAATGTGGGGTTTTATTGAGTTGTGGAAGGGGCCACAGTTCCACCATGTCCCCTGTATCATCATTTGGGAGCCCCCCCCCCAGCAACAATCTAGTAATATATAATGCTAATATTGGATTATATATTACTAATATTGTGCTATGCGAATAATATAATATATTGTATACACACATAATATTGATCATAATACTGTAATGCAATATAATAGTAATACTAATAACGATAATACTAAGGGCACTCCATGCAGTCATGCTGGCCACTTGACCTTGGAGGTTTCTAGGGCCAACACCATGCCGGCTCTTCTGCCCAGAAATGGAGATGAGTACCACTCCCAGAACCCTACAGGACTAGACTTAATTTTATGGGGAAACCTTTACCATTACCTTATAATACTAATAATAATACAATAAAATAATATAATATTATAGGTATATGTTATATATGACATGTAATATTACTAATAATATTGCAGTACAATAAACTAATAATAATAATAATAATAATAAGGGTGCTCCATGCAGTCATGCTTGGAGATGTCTACGACAATGCTGGCTCTTCTGCCTAGAAATGGAGATGAGCACCACCCCCCAGAGTCCTACACGACTAGACTTAATGTCAAGGTGAAGCCTTTACCTTTACCTTATAATACACATAATAATATAATAAGTATATATTATATATTACATATAATATTACAAATAATATTGCAGTATAGTGATATAGTACAATATAGTAATATATAATACTAATATTGTGCTATGTGAATAATATAATATATTGCATGCACATATAATATTGATCTTAATATTGTAATGCAATATAATACTATTACGACAGCCCCAGCTTCTGCCAACCTAGTAGTTCGAAAACATGCAAATGTGAGTAGATCAATAGATACCGCTCCAGCGGAAAGGTAACGGCGCTCCAAGCGGTCATGCCTGCCACATGACCTTGGAGGTGTCTATGGACAACGCCGGCTCTTCGGCTTAGAAATTGAGATGAGCACCACCCCCCAGACTGGACTTAATGTCAAGGGGAAACCTTTATCTGTACCTTATAAAACTAATAATAATACAATATAATAATATAATATATATTATATATTACATGTAATATTACTGATAATATTGCAGTATAGTGGTATAGTACAATATAGTAATATATAATGCTAATATTGTACTGTGAATAATATAATATATTGTATGTACATATAACTATTAAGCCGCGCAGAGTCCCTTTGGGGTGAGTAGGGCGGGATATACATGTCGTAGATAGATAGATAATAAATAGAGAGAGAGAGAGAGAGAGAGAGAGATGGTAGCTGTGGGCTCAGCTATCCCAGTTCAAAGCGGATATTGTGGGATTTTCTGCCTTGATCTTCTGGGTTATGCGGCTGTGGGGAAGGGCCCTGAGTTCCAGCAAACCTTACCTTTCACACAGGACTTATTGGAATGGCCTGGGCAGAAAAGCTCACCAGCGCCTCTACCTGAAAGGAGAGAGACAAGCCAGGCTTTCATGTGAGAATTAAAAAGCGGGCAGTTCTTAAGAGCGACCTATGCATTGAGACTCTCTTTTTAATAACCCAGTGCCTTTTGATTCAGTGATGCAGTGGGAAAAAGCGTGGAAACTTATTGAATATAATTGTTGTTAGAGTATTTGCTGTTGTTGTGAGTTTTCCGGGCTGTATTGCCATGTTCCAGAAGCATTCTCTCCTGACGTTTCACCTGCATCTATGGCAGGCATCCTCAGAGGTTGTGAGGTCTCACAACCTCTGAGGATACCTGCCATAGATGTGGGTGAAACGTCAGGAGAGAATGCTTCTGGAAAATGGCGGGAAAACTCACAACCCAGTGATTCCAGGCATGAAAGTCTTCCACAATATGTTGTTGTTTCTAGCCATTTCTGACTTATAATTACAGGCTGTGCTTGACAGGATTTATTCAGATTTGCCTTGTGGCTGAGAAAGTGTGACTTGCCTAAGTTCACCCAGTGGGTTTCCATGGGCAAAAAAAAGGTATCCAATCCTGGTCCTAAAATATTCACCAGGGGTGAGGAGCTATGCAAAACCAGCAGGATGGGACTCAAATCACACCCTCTTGGCCTCAGAGGAGTGGCACACGACACCGTTGCACTGGGATGGGACGAACACACAAACACACACAAGGGAAAATAAAAGAAGAATAAATATCTAGCCGACTATATGCTCTAGGGTTATATCATTGAAAGGAGAAAAAAATAAGCATATAAACAGATATACAATGGGGAACTGGGTCTGGAATTGGAAAGAACTGACAGTCAAAGGGTCCTTTCACACAGCCCTATATCTCAGAATATTAAGGCAGAGAATCCCACAATATCTGATTCGAACTGGATTATCTGAGTCCACACTCAGATAATGTGAGATTTTCTGTCTTGATATTTTGGGATATAGGACTGCGTGGAAGGACACAAAGTGAAGGGGAAAGCAAAATACAACGAACTCAATCAAATTATATCCATGATCCAGCCATTAGAATAAAATTCAGTTTGATCCCCCACTTTAATTGCCATGGCATTGGGATCATAGTTTTGCAAAGAGTGCTGGTGTCTCACCAAACTACATGCTCCAAGTGGCTAGCTTCAGGTCAAAAGACATTTATTACAATGACTAAATGTCATTGCACAATGACCTCACAACCTCTGAGGATGCTTGCCATAGATGCAGGCGAAACGTCAGGAAAGAATGCTTCTAGAATATGGCCCTATAGCCCGAAAAACCTACAACAACCCATTTAGTACAATACTAAGTGTTAACTTTGTGTTTTGTGAATTGAGGGCACATTATAACTGTACTCCCCATTCGCTTCTGACTCTATACATACATAAATAAATAAATAAACCGAACTACAACGGCCGATGGTCTTTCCACACAGCCCTTTATCCCAGAATATCAAGGCAAAATATCCCACAAAATCTGAACTGGAATATATGGCAGTGTGGACTCAGATAACCCAGTTCAAAGCGGATAATGTGGGTTTTTCCTGCCTTGATATTCCGGGATAAAGGGTTGTGTGGAAGAGCCCCAAGTTATCCGAGTCTACACTGCCATATATTCCAGTTCAAAGTATATATTATGGGCTTTTCTGCCTTAATATTCTGGGATACAGGGCTGTGTGGAAGGGCTCAGACAAAGCTAAACACATTGTGAAACTACAACTCCCAGCATTCCATAGCACTGAGCCATGCCAGTTAAAGTGGAGCCATCATAAAGCCTTAGCACAAAGGGAGGAGGAGGAGGAGGAGGAGGGTCCCTTTGTGAAACTAGAAACATTCAGAGAGACCAAGGGCTGGATGTATACTGTCAAATAATGCACCTTGAACTGTGTCAGTGTCGAACTATGGAACAGGCAGCTCAAACTGCATTTATATGGTGCAACACAATGGAGTTCTTTGGCAGTATGGATCCAGCCTACCCTCCCCCCCCCCGCCCCCCGCCACACGACCTGTTGCGCTGTTTACCTCCGTTTCAATCCCGCTTTGGTCTCCTTCGCTGGCCCGCTCTCCATGCCGGCAAAAAGGCGTGGGATTCCCTGCAAGGTCCCCAAAACCACCAAGTCGGAGGGAGAAAGGAGGGGCGCGGCTCACCCGCTCTCGTCTACCTTCACCGCCTCCCCTTCTCTCCTTCCTTCTTTCCTTCCTTCCCTCCTCCTCCTCTTCCCGCCACCTTCCCTCCTTCCTTCCCTTCCTCGCCACCCGCCCCGTTTGAACGCCGAGCCTTAGAAACCGGTTCCAGGCTCTTACTCCCGAGGAAGCGGCCTCAAGACCGGTTTGGACGCAGGGTATAGAGTATCCCTTGTCGCTGGAACCAGCCCGCAGAGAGGCAGCCTTTTCCAGTTTGGATTGTATTAGAGCAGTGAGTCTCAACCTGGAGGTTGGGACCCCTGGGAGAGGGTCTCGAAGGGGGTGTCAGAGGGGTCGCCAAAGACCATCAGAAAACACAGGATTTTCTGATGGTCATAGGGATTCTGTGTGGGAAGTTTGGCTAAATTCTCTCGTTGGCGGGGTTCAGAATGTTCTTTGACTGTAGGTGAACTATAAATCCCAGCAACTACAACTCCCAAATGTCAAGGTCTATTTTCCCCAAACTCCACCAGTGTTCACATGTGGGCATATTGAGTATCCGTGCCGTTTGGTCCCGATCCATCACTGTTTGAGTCCACAGTGCTCTCTGGATGTAGGTGAACTACAACTCCCAAAACTCAAGGTCAATGCTCACCAAATCCTTCCAGTATTTTCTGCCGGTCATGGGAGTTCTGTGTGCCAATTTTGGTTCAATCCCATCGTAGGTGGGGTTCAGAATGCTCTTTGATTGTAGGTGAACTATAAATCCCAGCAACTCCCAAATGTCAAGGTCTATTTTTCCCAAGCTCCACCAGTGTTCACATTTGGGCATATTGAGTATTCGTGCCAAGTTTGGTCCAGATCCATCACTGTTTGAGTCCATAGTGCTCTCTGGATATAGGCAAACTCCAACTCCAAAACTCTAGGTCAATGCCCACCAGGCGAAAGTATGATAGCTGGGACCCAATGCGGAAACAGCACAGCGAGATGCAGGTGCGACAGAGTTGTGGCAAGATAGCTTGCCAGTAAGGAGGGGGCGAAAGGGGGGGGGGACAAACAGTCAAGCTATCACGTTCAAATACTTTACTTCTCTAATTCTGACCCAGGCTGCCGGGCAACCAGAATTGGGTCCCAGCTATCATACTTTTGCCACCCAGGAACTTCTAGTATTTTTTTTTGTTGGCCAGGAGAGTTCTGTGTGCCAAGTTTGGTTCAATTCCATTGCTGGTGGAGTTCAGAATGCTGTAGATTAACTATAAATCCCAGCAACTACAACTCCCAAATGACAAAATCAACCCCCCCCCCACAACCCCACCAGTATTCAAATTGGGGCGTATGGGGTATTTGTGCCAAATTTGGTCCAGTGAATGAAAATACCCCCTACATACCAGATATTTACATTATGATTCGTAACAGTAGCAAAATTAAAGTTATGAAGTAGCAACGAAAATAATTTTATGGTTAGAGGTCACTGCAACATGAGGAACTGTATTAAGGAGTTAGCGGCATTAGGAAGGTGGAGAAACACTGTATTAGGGAGTCAGTGTAGAACAGGTCTGGGCCAATTTGGGCCCTCCCTCCAGGTGTTTTGGACTTCAACTCCCACCATTCCTACCAGCCTCAGGCCCCTTCTTTTTCCCCCTCAACCGCTTAAGCGGAGGGCCCAAATTTGCCCATTCCTTCTGTAGATAATCCATATTACCTGCTTTTCAGATCCATTTTTTCCCTTTCAGGTCCTAACCCGTTTGCTGGGGCACCAGCCCACTTTGGCAAAGAGGCCCTCGCAAAACTACAACTCCCAGGATTCTGTAATCTTGAGCCATGGCAGGTCAAGTGGTGTCAATCTGCATTCATTCGACCCCGTTGAAGCACCCGCAATTATAAGCTGTGATTCCACCTTTGGAGTCCTGGGATGTATAGTTTGGTGAGGCACTAAAGCAGAGAATTCTAGGCGCGCTTTGCTCAGCTGCAAATCCAGGATCCTCTAGGCCGCAACTTTAGCGGTTAATGTGAAATTCATGATGCTGTTTCCTAGAGCTTCGTTGACAGGAGGAGAAAAATGACCGGAAATAGCCCCCAATCTCCTCCATACATCAGGCACTTTTAATTCGATGTATACGCGGTGTGGACAGCCGAGATCACGGGGCCCTTGGGTGGAGAACAGTCAGTTTGGGGTACATCTACATTGCAAGGGGTGCAGTAAAGCTACACCCAAACGACACCTCCCAGGATCCCATAGCATTGAATCCTAGCAGTTAAAGTCGGGTCAAACTGGTATAATTCTGCACTGTGGATGGTCTGTAAGAGCGCGTCTTCACTGGAGAATGACCGAAAATTGACAGCACTTTCCGTACCATGGCTCAATGCTCGGAAGTCAAAAGGTTTGTAGGTTGATGAAGCTCCTCCAGCAATATTTGACTGAGAAGGCTGAAGACCTTGGGCAACTACACATCCCAGGATCGCACAACCATTAAAGTGGTGTCTAACTGCACCAATTCTATGTGTTGTCGAAGATTTTCATGGTCGGAATCACTGACTGGGTTGCTGTGAGTTTTCCGGGCTGTATGCCCACGTTCTCAACCTGTTAAGATACCTGCCATAGATATGAGAGAAACGTCAGGAGAGAATGCTTCTGGAACATGGCCATACAGCCCGGAAAACTCACAGCAACCCACTGCATCAACGAGTTGATCCAACTATAATGAATTATTTTCCTTTGTATATTGGCTGCCTTCTTGTCTCTGGCTGCTGTCTGCCGGGAAACACTTCCTGCCGAATTATGTTCTCTGTCCTCGTTTTGCAGGAATCGGGGCATTTTATAACACACGCTCAACGGAAATGTATCATAATAGACGTTCATTTGGTACCTTCGGTTTTGAGGGAGTTGGACCAAGTGTGACCTCAAAGTTCAGGAGCAATTTGGAGATGGAGAAGGAAGGAAGGAAAGAAGAAAGGAAAGAAGGAAGGGAAGGAAGGAAGGAATGAAGGGAAGGGAAGAAACAAGGAAGGAAACAAAGGAAGGAAACAAGAAAGGAAAGAAGGAAGAGAAGGAAAGAAAGAAGGAAGGAAACAAGAAAGTAGAGAAGGAAGGGAAGGAAACAAGAAAGAAGGAAAGATAAAGAAAGAAGGAAGGAAGAATACAAGAAATAAAGAAGGCAGGAAGGGAAGGGAAGAAAGAAACAAGAAAGGAAGGAAGGGAGGAAGGAAGGAAAGAAAGAAAGAAAGAAAGAAAGAAAGAAAGAAAGAAAGAAAGAAAAAGAAAGAAGGAAGGGAAGGRAAGAAACAAGGAAGGAAGGAAACAAAAAAGGAAAGAAGAAAGAAAAGAAGGGGAAAAAGAGGGAAGGAAGGAAACAAGAAAAAAAGAAAGAAAGAAGGAAGGAAGGAAAGAAAGCTAAAGAAAGAAAGAAGGAAGGAAGGAAAGGAAGGAAAGCTAAAGAAAGAAGGAAGGAAATAATCAAGAAAGAAGGAAGGAAGGAAAGGAAGGAAAGAAACAAGAAAGGAAAGAAAGGGAAGATACAAGGAAGAAACTTTGGGAAGAAACTGCTTTTCAGTCCTGGAACTTAACGCTTCTTTTTCCTCCCTTGATGAACTCGCTCTGCGATGTTTCATTATCCACGAGGAAAGGTCTCTCTAATCCAACGCTTTTGGACGCATCTACGCTGTAGAAGTAATGCGGTTTGACATCGCCTTGTCTCAATGTTATAGGATTTGTAATTTATGGAGGCAGAGGAGGCTAAAGGCCATTGTCAAATGACAATTCCCGCGTTTCTATAACAATGAGCCATGGCAGAGAAAGTGGTATCAAACCGCATTAATTTTACCCCGAAGGTGCAGAAGGTGCACCCTCAGGTGGACTAAGGACTCCTTTCAAAAACACACATACTGGCACTCATTTCTAAGGATGTGCGGATTGGGGATGTGAATATATTTCCCTTTGTGGCCCCCCTTTTAATGCAAAACACGGCTGACTGAGACAGGCGAGAGAGAGAGAGAGAGAGAGAGAGAGAGAGTCTACCTCCGAAGTGTTTGAACTTCCAGATTGGTCTCTGGTTCGAGGCGCCTCTGAGAGTGCGCATGGATTTATATTTTGGTGACAAGTTCCAGCATTCCACCCCAAGGCGCCCCGCATCACTTTTTCCAGGATCCCAACCCAAAAGGGGACGGACACACAGCCGACAGACGGGGAAAGGGACGGAGAAAAGGATTCCTCGTTAGGATCAAGCAAAACAAACCAATAATTCGGGCTGTAAGGATCACGCTGCGGCGGCTTTGGAGCAGACACTCCAATCCTTCCCGTCTTCAAACGAGAACAAAGTTTGACACCTCTCGCGCGCCATTATTGCGCATTTACGGGATCCAAAGTTTGGCACCGAGTGGGATGCGCCCCTGCGTTCAGTTCTGTTAAAGGAGCGGGTTGGAAAACTCGAGCTGTTCAAACTGAGGGTGGGTTCAAACAGAAGGCGGCGGATCTCGAAGTAATCTGGAGGAGATCAGGCAGGATTTTCCTGATCTCCACTATTTCCCCGGGAGATGCAAAGGGACACGCGCACGCCTTCAGACGCACACGACGCCCTGGGAGGAAGGGAATGAAGGCACTATAGAAATAAACATAATAATCGCCAGCATGATTTTAACTACCCTGGCTCAATGCTGTGGCATCATAGGAGTTGTAGTTTGGCGAGGCACCAGCCCTCTTTAGTTGAGAGGATTACAGACCTTGCAAACTACAACTGTCAGGATTGCAAAACATAGTCCCATGCAAAAAACAAACAAACAAACCCAAAAAAAACCCAAACAAACCATAACACTATTGCAGGTCTAAGACTCTCCTTCCTAGAATTAAGATTTTGTCATTCTCTTTTGCGTGTGTTTATTTCTTCCAATGTATTGATGGGCAATCTGTGAAGTTCATAAGGTTTTCTTAAGCAGGATAAAAGGTAAAGTGAAGGTTTCCCTCTTGACATTAAGTTTAGTCGTGCCCGACTCTGGGGGTTGGTGCTCATCTCCATTTCTAAGCCGAAGAGCCGGCTCTGTCCGTAGACACCTCCAAGGTCATGTGGCCGGCATGACTGCATGGAGCGTCCTAATTTTCTTAAGCAAGGAAATGTTTTTGCCGGTTCCTTCCTCTTTGAAAAAAATAGGGGTGCATCTATATTGTAGAATTAATGCAGTTCGAGACTACTTTCAATTCCCTGTTTTGAGAGTTTTCTCCACAAAATGCGCCGACATTCCTGCCCTTAGAGGAAAGCACCAGGAAAA